GACTAATGGTTTACAAAATTAAAAATGTAGTGTTTGACTTCCATATAACAACTGTCCAATCACACATTAATAACATGGATTTGAATCGTCACGTTTTCGCTTACCTTATATTTCATTCAAGATTACGAATGACGTATCCCGAGTGAGAAGTATGCGTGTTGAGATACGTATAAATTTAACTCAATTCATGGGATTCTGTCTAATACGTCACAGTTAGATTAACGTGATTGTTTAATACAGGCAACACCGGATGTGAATTAGCCGTCAGCCAGCACAATTAAAATCGCATCAACAGTGATGTGTTTGTTTTACTGCCGCGGAACAATTTTCAGAGTAGATGTTACACGTGAACTGACATGCGGAGAATTGGAAGACATCTTTTAGTAGGCTGTTTAGCAGACTAATACATTAAAACACAATTTGAATAGGAGCATGTATATTACCAGTTTAATAATTTACAGACACATTCACTTAAGGTAATAAATTTCATTTCCTAGACCGGATTTACTATCTCGTGTATTATAACTCAAACACGGAATATACGACTTCGGCGGTATCATTTGTTTTGTTTCAATTCTCCAGATTTGTTTCTCGGGATCGTTAACACGTTTGGGGCAATAATGGAGAGCGGGCTGTACATCATGTGTGCCTCAACCAAGAGTGTGTAACAGTACGCTATCAGTGGCGTAATTCAATACATGCTTTGGAATAATTAAATGGCACTATTTCCTGCCTGGGGTAATAACACAAGGCGCAATGATTTATTGTCTGGCAATGTTTCAAACTATGCATTAAACCAGACGAGTCATACTCACTGATATTGATGTACTGACAAATTTAGATGAGTGTCATGCTAGAATGGTGCATAATAATAATAATACATCGATGATTACACTGTATTAATGTGTACACGGGGATTCAATGGTCGGTGATTATTCTGCATAAACGTCGTAAAACATCTTCTGATGTATAACATGTATATACAATATCGAATAACTCTTGCTTTGTCCAGTGCTCACTTCCTCATTCGGTCTAACAAGCTAAAGGTATTACACGCCCAACAAGCGTATCAGTTTACGTATGTCAGTATTACGCTTCCATGGCAACGGATTTGTTTTAATTCACCCTCTCCTCAAATATACATTTATAAGACCGCTGAAACGTGTGATATTCTATTTGATTCCGTCATTAGATAGTAGTCTCCATCGAAGTTGGATGTTATTACGCATTGTTTTTTGAAAATGCTACAACCTTAATGGATACATGGAGACTATTCATTTGACTAACAATATAGTACAATGTCAGCTGCGAAGCCGTACTCAGACACATATACCACGTACCATACACTCTTATCATCTCGATTTAAAATTAAAGACATATTATAATCACTCACGTGGTGATTAAATGGTGGATTGTAAACTAAATAGGATTGGTTGGATCTGACGAATGGTGAACCGTTGGCATTATTGAGAATAAAAGCAGCGAGAGGGCGATTTATTAACATGGACGTGTGTAGTTTACAGACATATACGCAAACAACGACGACGTATTAGATCAAATCGTAATAACAAAATACTCTTTGTTTGGTCTTACATCGTATTCTAAATGCGGACTACGCACAAATCACAGAATAAAACGCAATACACTAAACAAAAACTAAGTCGTTTTTTTTTAAAGAGTGTTTTTTTTTTCTCTGCATATAATGTGTTGATATCACATAATGAGTGTATAATATTATAGATATTATTAAACCAAACGCACTTTCGGATGATATTATATGAAACATATATTACTCCTTGAGGTTACAAAGCATTGAGGTTATAGTCGATTTTTGTATCATAGACAGTGACGGACGGTGAATTATTCAGAATATGTTATACCTGACTTTAGAAAGTGACTTGTATTTCTTTGCTTTTTTTTCTTTGTTCACAAATAAGACTAGAGCCATGATACGCGGCAAAAATGCGGTGATAACATGTATCTCGGTGTGAACAAACTTCATCAAACGATTCATCTTACATGTAACTATAGCAACGTATATATATCCTGAATATAAAATATCACAACTTAGCTTAAATTACGCACTATATTTGCCGCACTCTTCCCTGTTTGCTTCACAAGCCGATTATGATCATAGTAAATCAAATTTTGGAGAATTTAAGCTTTACTTAACATAAGTCACAGACTGTGTGCCCAAAAACTGAAATGGGCGACGATTCCAAAAAAACAGAATCGAAAGCAAAACTTTAGAGAAATTATTTTTGTTGAATTCAGTTTTTTCACTAGATCCATCATTCTCTTCATTGAGTAATGACAGTAGCGTAATTACTAAATATATTGCCAAAAGTCATAAGTTAATTAACGTTTAAAATAATTATTTATGTATTTTCCCCGTCTGTTAATCATCGGATCAGTTAATCTATTTGTGTGGAAGGTATTGGGAATATGTACGTCGGACTTACTGGTAATGAGTTCAAAACAAGATATAGAAACCACACGGCCCCATTAATGTTAATTTGCGAAGCTTATAATGTATGCTCTTTGGTGCAGTGAATGATTAAACATAAAGCTCCTGATGAGTGAGGTACTTGTACCTTACGAAACAGTGCTGTCGAGTTTCAATATCCATGTAGTTGTGTATTAATTACTCTATCACTGTGTATATATATATATATATATGACGGCCGGGCGAACTGAGCGCGGAAATATCGGCGAGCCGCTGAGAGGGCAGTTAGTAATATACGTGTTGTGTTGATCCACAGAATGGACAGTTTATTTAACAGAGTTTTTATAATTATAAAACGACGTACAATAAACAATATATCATATGCGATACGTTGATATAAATAGCCACCTTTTGTAAACGTATTTAAATACATTCAAATAAAATGAGGCAAAAAAAAATATTTTGTCCTTATATTATGACTAACTTCAAATGTATGTTGTCGGTAAGCCAAAATGTCAGTATACATATAGAACTACGGCGTATTTTTTTATAGTCGGTTACCACTTTCATTGGATTAGACATAGGAATATATATGTCATAGTAAGTAATTCTGGCGTAGCTTCCTTTCATACTTAAAAGCAGGAAATTGTTATGACGTAATTAATACGGTGCGACTATTGTTCATGCAGTGAATACTCATTTGCATAACGATGCAAATTTCAATTTATCCTTCTTCGTATATAATATAATTTAATATTAATTGGAGCATGATATTATAATTATTCAATCAGGTTTACCCAGTGAGATTTCGTTACTATCGTTTTGAGCCAAAGCATTAAAGGCGTTCCATCTAATTTCAAATATCATAGTGCAAATTAATGCATTATGGGCTAACAATGAATATAATAGAAATATATCATCTAAATTAATGGTACACTATTAAGACTTATATTAATTGCAATATGTGTCTTATTCAGAGAAAAGAATATTTCAAGATATGAAGAAATTACTCCACCATAGAAACCAATACCAAACCAAAGATATCATACAAAGTTTGACATTTTTTTTTGAGATTCTGTTTTTCGAAAACTGGTTATTCCATTTTTTTTTAATTTTCTATATGCTAGTCCCTTAAATCTTCAAAGCAGGCTCAACTAGATTTAATTTCGCTTTCCGAAATGTCATTGAGAAATTTGATGCCGTGTATATGAGGCTTCAAATCGGATGTCACAGATTACGTCATGTATGAGATATAATTGAACTACGATTCAAACAGTCCATCAAATCGAGTTCTTAACCAGCCAATATTGTGTTGCAACATTTTGACAATTTTTATGTAATTCTCGAATTTTGAAGAAAATGGCCATCATTTTATATTGGTTACTGGTCTCGTTCAAAATGTTGGGAAAAAATGAAAACAGAAATATTAATTTTGTGAATAATGACAAAACTTGACTTTGGCGCTTGAAGGTTATAAACGCATTAAACGTAGTGGCTACAGATAATGTACGCTACTACATTCATCGTGATGTATTTTAAATGTCTGCATTATATATTTGTTTGTTTGTAATGAAGGTACGCCATAATGCATGTTCGTATTTCCATGTGGAACATGTGAAGTACTGTTTTAATGTTATGAAAACTTATGCCGAAATCGCAGTGTCAGAAAATATCGTCTAACTTCTAATCGACAATTGCTAAAAATTGTGAAAAAGTTCCCTTTGTACCCCTCCCCCATTCCTAAAACTAACGCTAACTCTATGCCTCCTTTACGTCTATATATTATTTTTTTCTGATAGCCTGGACATTAAGGGATTATGTGGCAAGCGTCGTTGTGTGTCGCCATATTTGATAGGTCCGTGCTCATAATATAAATGTAACGTAATCTGGGAATCATTCAGCAACACGTTGCCTACACTGATGATTTTGTGACAGTTACACGCACTATTGACTGTGAGTGTGTTTAACTTTTCTATGAATAAACTGAGAAACAAAATAACAATCAGTTCAAATAAAACAAAAAAGTCGATTTGAATACATTACATATATTGTAGCAAATCAGCCCCCACCCCGTCACAAAGTCACGCTTCGCTTAGCCATCATGGCCAAGGAACTCGTTCAAGGTTGTCATTGTTTTCCACACTTGGGCCAGTGAATATCAAATACAAGCAAAAAGGTGTGCCCTGCAGGTTGAATCTCACATTCGCCACTTCCGCACGATTCGGCGCTTCTGTTGTCATGGAGATGGTGACGCTGAATCCCTTAACTAATCAATATAAATTCAGGAAGTGCATAAACGTCACGTGGTATATGTTTCGTTGGAATAGTATTAAGCGGAATGGGGTGATCGCGCGGTTTGTTGGAGTGTAACTTCAGACAATAATAAAAGCTGATTGGCGCAGGAATCACTGAACGGTCTGATGCATATGAAGAGTGAAGATCCTTATTAAATTTTCATGCAAAATTTCCTTTTCGGATCTACGTCATCGGTATTTCAAGCAGCGAAAATCAAATTATGGGTGGGCAATGTGACAGTTGACGAAGCCGGTTGGCAGGCTGCCAAAGAACCTGTGACTCTCACGTGGCCGGAAGCCGGTATTTTCTCTCTCTTTGTTGTGAGTGATGTCATTCGTGCTATATAAGTAGTTAGAGTATCACTAATATTCAGTAGAACGAACGGGAAGTGAGAAGAGTATTCGATCTCTTTGTGTGCTGCACGTTTGATATTTTCTACCTTTCGTATATTGGTGAGTACTGTGTTTTATTCTCAGTCGCAATTTGTTTTCACACGTTTCGCGTCCCGTATGAAGAAACGCAGCAAACGATATTCACCGAGTATGTTGAACGATTTGACCTTTTCGTAGTCACTTTTTATGTTCTTACTTGAGTGGTTAACGCGAGCAAATATTAGTTGTGACTCGTTTGTGTCGAACACAGTACATTCAGTATTTTAATACTTCCGATGCTTTGATATGATATCAGCTTTTTGCGTTCCATCCACAACAAGGCCATTCGACTGTTACAATAAGGTTTGTTTAGTTGATCCACTATCGGGCATGACGTGCTCGTGTTAATCGCTCTGCCGAATCGAAATGGTTGTGACGTATTCTACTGATCTCTGTGTTGCTAGTACACGCCTTAAACTAATAGAAATTACACATGCGTAAAATCCTTTCAAAGTTTACAGGAAGTAATGTAATTTCGTAGTAACCGACTATAAAAAAATACGCCGTGGTTCTATATGTATACTGCAATTTTGGCTTACCAATAACATACATTTGAAGTTAGTCATAATATAGTAAGGACAAAATATTTTTTTTTGCCTCATTTTATTTGAATGTATTTAAATATGTTTACAAAAGGTGGCTATTTATATCAACTTATCGCATATGACATATTGTTTATTGTACGTCGTTTTATAATTATAAAAACTCAGTTAAATAAACTGTCCATTCTGTGGATCAACACAATGCACGTATATTACTAACTGCGCTCTCAGCGGCTCGCCGATATTTCCGCGCTCAGTTCGCCCGGCCGTCACAGCTCGTTAGAAGCGATCAAAACTGGACACATCAGGAGACAGCGATACTATCGCGTGACACTTATCGATGGATGTCTTTTCGTCGTGTAACAAGAACAGATTAAACACTGCAATTTGTATTGAACGAACACAGGTGTGTCGTCAATCAATGTCGCTGTCCCGAGCTGCGCGATTCCATCCATAACTAGGTTGAAATCCATCAGCCGTAAGGTATAAAATCATCCGAAATTGACAAGTACGAATATTGATTACATCATACGATTATAATTCGATAAAGCTGTTAAAAATGTAATAACAAATACAATCTGAATTAAGAATTCGCTATACATACCACACTCATACCAATTTCTGCAATATCGATATTAGTTTCGAGCTTCCCTCGAATTCATTTTAATTTGATCATTACTGTGCACTAACACGTAATATCCTGCTCTAATTACATTTTTTTGAAAAGTTTAATTAGTTAAATGTATGCATTACGACAATCACTAGAACTATTAGTTTATGGATCATTTAAATAATATAATTATACACGTGACGTCGTATTTCTATTTAATTATTTAACCCCAAATACCCTACAAACATATTCTGAATGATCATCAATATAATAAAATGAATTATTTCCCGCTTGTGTTTCCATAATTCGGACAGGATGTGTGTAATACTACATCTTCACATTTGTCTGTTCCCGAATCATTAGAAGAGTACCTCTATAACAAATCTGTGCGTAAATTATACAGGACGGCGTCATTTTACAGGAGTATTACGTTTTACAGAAAACAGCCTTCAGAAAGCAATTGCCGATGGCTGAGTTGCGAAAGAAAAAAAGCGTGGGTGTTGCCATAATCGATATGATTTCATTCGAATGCATTTAAACGAAGTCACATCAGTACTACTATAGCGTGTAGAAGTCAAACACTTAATTTGTGCAAATGGTCTCTAATTATTGTGGAAATGGGAGTTCAAAACGTCCTAAGCGAATATAACGTAATTAGAAATCCTGTGTGGGTAGCCATCGAGTAGAATTCGCCTGTAGTCTTACGATTTAGACGAGAATGCAACGCATTATTGGGGAAATCAAACAGTTCGTCAGTCTAGCGTCTATCCAATTAAGATTTTCCCATTCATAGGCACTGTATCTATTTGTTTGAGAATAACGGGTGAATTATACAAACTGAGTGAGAGGAAATGGGTGGCATTTGATTCCGCGCCACAGTGTCAATTACACTATCCATGATTGACGTACCGGCGTGAAGAACTGCTCACTGGAGTATCTAATTAGACCATTTACATTAACACTGTGATTATAACGGATATGCGTAACCTAACATCGATTTGAGTCTCTATTTTCACCTCTACGGTGTACACGTTACATGTACATATTTAACTCAAACGCTTAGTGGTAAAGTGGCTGCAAAGACAACGGTTTACTACACGTCATGCTTCGCCGTGGCATCACTATTTATAATCTTGTAGTCGGAGTGCATTTTTTTCTCTTTACGTTGGACATAATAATGTAGCACGATTGTGCGTAATTACGAAGTGTTCACCTTATGTGGATTAAAATATTATATTACAACATTAAAATATTAGGCGCGGTTCAAATAATGACCGTCTCTCATGACCCTTCTCGAAACGCGTAACAGAGAGGTAACACAATGATACAAAAAATGAGTCCATGCCGTTATCTTAACTATTATTAATCGTGGTTATGTTGCACTACAGTAACTATGGGCACGATATCGTAGTAATTTCAATTACACTATAAACGGTTGATATACAGTACTCGGAGACATTGCTGAATGTATTGTATGGAATACATAAAAACCAATTCCAATACGCAAGACCCATACTGTTAGCAAGACGGTCATCTAGTCATGGATGTTTTCAATAGAAAGATTCTTTTCCGTCGACAGATTCCAATTTGTCAAGCTAAAAAAACAAATTGAACGTTTCCATGGCAACTTTTCATTTCACCAAATCCGTGGTACGCCATAACCCGACTACGGCGTCTGGTTTTGGTATATGAGATATATATATGATCTTTAATATTACATGATTAGTCCATGAAATAACGAGATTCACGCACGTCGGGTGACATGTTAATGATTTATATTCAATGCTAATGTAAACGACTTTCTTGGAGGTATTTTAATTGATATGAACACTATAAATCACCAATAGAAGGACATTATGAGCGAGCTTCAATCGTCATTACATGAGGTGGCTTGTAGTCGGACATTTATGTTAATTATGTGTAACAAGCAAGAGTCGCCTTTATGCATGCGCGCGCGAGACGTACTCGACGCGTCAGCGGGGTTGAACTATTATGTATGGTAGGTTGGGCGGATTATTTTCTGTCAATAACGATTTTCGCGTAATTTATCGATCGTTTAATTTCAGCTTTTTGATAAGCTTATTCAACATATAACTTATTTTGACGAATGTGGCTACTATCATACTGTATGCAACGTGCTCGATACTTCCGTTTTTTTTAAAAACGCTCATCCAAATGCTAAGTAGTTTGGTTTCCAATTCAAAAAATCGCACGTGTAATGTGTAATAGCATTTAACTTTCTCTTTCGTAATTCGCGTTAGTATTCTACTAATTTTCTCATCCTCAGCGAACTAATTACTCGGTCACTTAATGGTCCGTAAGTCTAGAGTGAACCATGAATACGAATACGCGTTCTGCTCTAATTGTGCTGTATTATAGAACGTTAAACAAGAATCCCGAAAAGCGTTCTCTACTTAATACTAGCTATCGTTTAATTTTCAAACATTTGAAATAAATTATGTATTCGTACATGTCATTTCGATAAAAGGCTTTTTTTAGATTGTGTTGTATGCATATGATTTGTAATGGTAATTCATAATTTAGTGTCTGCCTTTAGCATGATTAAGGAAGTATGGTCCATTAAACGCAAACTTGATAAATGACAGCGCAAATGTTTTATTAATTAGCACATGGACTTATTGTGGCGACAGAGAAAACCCGGAAAAAACAGATGTCCCGTAAGATTCAATCTGGCAACTAACAGAACAATTAACTTTTTTTTTCTCTTAGACGGGATGAGAAATAACATCCGCAATTTTCGGAATTTTTAATAAAATATAAAGTAGCAGCAAAAACAGAATTTATTCATCATGTGTCTCATGCAACTGATAGGTGACCCTTTCCACAGTAATAGAATATTGGTGGCTTGGTGGTCTGTAATGTATATGCTTATACGCATTACCGAAGGATAATAATGTGCGTGTGTGTGTGTGTGCGAGCGTGTCTGCGTGCTTTCTTAGTCACATTTGGTTTAGTTGATCATTTTGTGATCGTTGCGAAACGACGCTGATTTTTTCAACTCACGCGGATCGCCCATGGGAAAGAATAATATATACTACAGCTTTTGCATTTCTCAGAATAATCATATTACCTAGTGACGTCATTTTTACCTCAAATCGCATATTCATCTCGTAACTCATCGCGGTTTTTTCACATTTTTATTTCTAAATTTAGATTGTTGTATTTTGTACTGCCTAATTTCTATTTTTTTTTTCTCATTATATCGGTGTGAGATTTATTAGACTGCGTGCTTATTATACTTTAAAATGATAAACTACATACAACCACTCCGGAGCAAACTACTTGCAATAAACCAATTGGCTTGAGACGCAGATGGCAAATGAATGTAATAGGGTTCGTGTGGACAGATCTGCAGATAACAAATACACGTGTTCGTAATCCACGATGAATAATCGCATTGATTTTTTGAAATCCGTTTATCACTAATACACATTGTGTCTTTATCGCATAGGACAATGACAAAACACCTGTATATCTGTATATTTCAATTCCGTATTTTATAAAGTCATCTTTCTTGGCTCGTTAACAACACAATGCAAATATGATTTAAGCATTATAACTGTGCTAACCACACCTAACGACCAATAAAGATGTATTATGTCTACACTGCTAAGGAAGTCACTGACTCAAATAGTGTGCTTTAAAATACACAATTCGAATGGCACAACTTTGTAAAATTATACATTGTAACAAATGACCTACACATATATCTATATGATGCTATAACATTATTATTTGCAACTTATCTTTGTTGTAGATCGTACAATGTCTTCACAGGCGATGTGGGCTGTAGTTGCAGTAATTTGCTGCAGTTTTCTAGTGGTTAAAACTTATGGAATGGATGAAGAAATGTTTATAAATAAGCAAAAAGGAGACAATACTTTACCGACTGCCTTAAAGAGAAGTGCAACGGTAAATTAATTTGTTTATGTGTGTGTTTGTCAGTGGTTGTTTTCTTTTCCAGTGACCGTGTTTCTTCATGTCATTACAAGACTTGAGAACATTATTTAATTTTGTCTTATGGAATTTATAAATTAATGATTATGATCCTGATCGACGTACCCGTTACTTGTTTTGTTTCATGCAGAAAAATATTTGTAAATGATTTTTTACAGACAAAACGTTCTCCCCATTGTCATTGTAATAACGCGCGGATATTGATAAATGTTTATTAGTTATTTATTTTCATTTTTGCAAATCAACATAACTAATCATGTGGCGACGTGTTGGTATTGATTATACCTGATTTTGTTTATTTGTGATGAGACTACCTGACCACGACGACTTATTTACTTTTCGATTTTCCTTCCAGGAAATCACTGAAGGTAATCCAGAACGAGATTGCTATCTTTGCCTGGGTTGTATGGTTCGAGTAGCTGATTGGAGGTTAGATTTACAGAGATGTCTTCAGCGTGCGTGTAACTACAAAAGATGCCCACTTTTTATGTTCGATACCTTTAACGATTTTGCGAGCCAAGCAGCTGAATGGTACGCAGAGAGTCACGATACTGGAGTTGCTGGCGTACAAATGGCAAAGATATTTGCGATGAGCCAGTATGAAATGTTTGTTGGAAACCCATATGAAACGGCGAATCTGTATAGTGAATTGGAATCGCTGTCGAGTTAGGCATTATTTTGAATATTTATTGCGTTAGGCAGGCTCTTGAATATATCGGTAGAGTTAGACAGGTTCTTGGTATCTACCGATCTGAGAAGCTTTGTTGAATAAACCGTCGGGTTAGACAGTCTTCTCTCTAAACAGTCAATTCGGGTAACGAATATTTCGTTGACAAAAAACTATTTATGCTTTAATCATTCAGGTTTCGTTTTTATATTTATTTATTTATTTATGTTAAATACAATAATTTATTTTGTCTTCTTTCTAAAAAAGACGTTGCTACTCCTTTAAGAATAAAACACGACAATGCACGAAATAAATTATTTTGAATACTTAACTAAATAATATACTGATATACTATATTATATATGTTGCGATACAGTATACCGCGTTCGATTGTTTCGCGGGAAATTTAAAACGTGCTATCTTTAATAAACTGTTGCGTAACATCTGTTTTTTATATATTGGATCTTCTGCTTTATTAATTAATGTGACGTGTGTTTGATAATTACAAATGCAAATAAATGTTAATGTATTGTGACTTATGTCATTAGAGTGGACGATCATTCAACCTTATGAGAGCCAAAGTCAAACTTTTACAAAACCTATATAATGTTTCCAAACTTTTGTTTCAAGGCCGATTAAATACATTCATTTGATTCAAAACTATCCACGTAATTATAGACTAATACAAAAGGGAAAATGTTGCACCAACATAGAAGGGATCTGTATTTTTCCGTGCGACGCCAAACGGTGTCGCAAATTCACGAATCACACCATTGAAACTATCTTCCGAAGATGGTATGCTTATTAGACACTCCCACGAACAAAAACCGGGACAGAGACAGATATGTTTGATGTTGTCTTTATTCAGGGTTTAGATCACTAGATCGTACGTATATCCGGTGGCAGCCATTTTCTCAGGTCGAAGAAATGTCAGGACAGGAAACTGTTGTCTGTTACTATTTGTAGTTTTCTATGGGCCTCTTGGTGTATACTGTTGTTGTATATTCCTTTAAATGTTATTCTGGTATGACAGTCCATTCCACTAAAATGACTGTGATCAGTACAAACACAGACATGTTCGCGTTATATGTTACGGGGGTACCTAAGTAAGTAATACTTATTTACGCCAGTGATGTAATAATGTCCCGTTCGACCTGATGGAATTTAAATTATTTAAACAAATCGTGCATCATAAGATAAATATTTAAAAATTGTCGGTTCAGCTCCACTACAATCTAATTAACTATGGGTTGCATTAAAGAATTTGTCCCTAGAGAGCTGCCGTTTGCGTTTGTTCTTCTTCAAGGGACAAACGCGAACATTCACAGTAACAAAGGATTTTCATTTCAGTGCCTAACTTTGTCAGTTGTTCTGAGTCATAAATTGTGTTGATTCTAAATGCTACCTCGTCAAATGTCCCTCTAGTTTGGTGTTTTGGTTTTGCTAGTACGTGCAGTGTTTCTGGAGTTCTTGGCCGTTGTTCACGAAGAGTTGTGGAGATGTGGCTATGCTAATTCGGGATGGAAACATCTCTGTTAGTAACGTGTTACGGGTATACGCTTAAGTTCTAAACAACAGAGATTATCTCCTTGCAAGTCGTGTTTTCTCGAAATTACAGGTCCAAATGTTATGCAAAAAGGGGTGTATGTGACTATGAATATATGCAGTACAGTAACAGAATCAACGAAGACAGTTCGCAAATTAGAGTGTAGAGTACGAGCAAGAAATGCCCCTAGTCCCCTGGAAATGAATACTGTGTTCAGTATTGTTTACTGTTACGCCCGATACGTGTGTACGAACTAGAGTTGCCGATGACGGACCAATTATGTTGGATGTAACTTAGTACGAATTCATTTACTGGCTTCTTTAGCATACGTACATCGCTCTATGATAGAAGCAAGTCTGACTGGTCTGTTATACACTGAGATGCTTACGGGTATTAGTTATATCAGCTTGTAAATAAATAAATAACGTGAAATGTATTGACAAGAGTTCAAGGAATTCTACTTTTGTTTTATCAGCCCTTGTACCTAAATTGGTTTACAGGGAAATTTCACCAATGTTCCAGTAATCAATATAAATTTGGTATGCAATAAGTAGTATGATATTCGCAAAACAAAATACAGATTTTCAATTTCGTAATAGTAAGACATGTAGATTTACTAAATCTCTCGTCAAAATACAAATTGCTGTAGGTCCGTTATATAGTCAGAATAATACCGTAAACAAATAAACAAACAAGTCATTTACTGCTAAGCCAGCTAACTTCACACATGCTACACACAACCTTCCAAAATAACTGGACCAACAAAGACCGGTGTGTACGGGGTGTGTACACATTTAGGAGTGGCAAGATATGTCCACACATATTATAAAGTAATTATAAAGCATTATAACATTCATAATAGAGAAATATAAAATGAAACAGAGCATCATTGGTATTCTCTAGTTAAGTGTGGCCGAGTCACTTCTGAATTGTCTTCCATCGACCATTCCACATAGTCATCGTCATGGAAGTTCACGACAACCTCCGAATCATATATCTGCTTGTTACGAGAAACAATCAATTCCTACTTGTTTAAAGACCAATTACTCAGTAACATGTTTATATTGTAGAAATATTGACCTTGGCCAAGGTCGATACACAGATTTATCGACCCTCAGTGAGTATTGTTGACCGAAGCTTCGTCAATATTTGTATTATTATACCGAATAAAACGCAAAATCTCTCCTGCCAAGTTTTTAATGACAACACCCAGAATGGTCTCAATTCTCAAATAGCTGTTTCTTCCCACTTCCAATGGTTCGTATATATTTATATTCCATAATTTCCAAATTACAGTCAAATTTAAGATTCTTGTAGGCATCAATTAGCTATTGACGACTTTTTGACATTTCAGAAGCCGCGATGGGCGTACATGACATGCGCGTACACACAAAAAACAGCAGACTACACTGGGGGTCAATCGGGCCTGATCGGACCTAAATAAAACGCAATACTAGTTTAACAAAATATTCCCGGTTAAATGAACAATTTAATGAAACCAACATGTATGTACGATACACAACCAGTTATAAAATTACCTTGATGGACTAAATAGAAGCGATAAACGTCGGCCTACGACTTCAACAAATTCTGGCGAAATGCGAATACTAGTAATCAGCGCTAGCACGGTACACGGTTCGACGACTACGGTCCGACCATCTGATATAATCGTGTTGTTCTAAGATTATCTTCTGGATACAAGTATTCACATCGAACATGACTTGGTCCAAGTACTACAAGATACACTGTTGAACCGAAAATGTTACAGTTGTTTGACCTGTTTATAAATTACAGGCGATTCCTCGAGGAAACGCTGACTAACCCCAACGATGAATCAGCACTTCTTGAATCGATGGTAACGTCTGCGCAAGCGCAGAAGCCGAATATTACGTCTTTGACACTGAGAAGTCAATATGCAAATATATTCAATGCTAAAAGCGCGAATCTGTTTGGACTATAATAAAAATGAAATGTTCCCACAAAAATGTTCCTGATATTGTTAGATAACGCCGTTTTTGCTAATTGAGTGCTGTGTGCCGAATAACTAAATAGAACATACGCAGTCACGGTCATTTGATAAACTGGCCAATATTCTGTAAGGACTCGAGCTCTGTTTGGCATGTGCGTTAAAACAAAATCTTAAATTTTACGTTGTTTATTGTCATAAATACGACATTGAATCACTGCTGCGATATTCATAGTCACAGATCTAAAAGTTGAAATCACATTAAATTAGATTTTCCCTCGACGTTTAGGCAAATGTTTTGTTTTTAAGCAGGTTATACACTATCTTAAATGCCCTGGACATTTAATCCGAGCAAGTGTTTATTAGAGGTGTGGCTGATGAGTTCGGTTGATCACTTGCAAAGCCTACGTTTACAGAAAATCGTGGCAGAGTAAAACAAGCAGTCAGCCAAAAGCTGCAGTCGTCGGCACGATCACGTGATTATCAGGGGGTGTGTCTCACGGTTAAAGCATTGCGAAGTTGCCACTACTAAAGACAATTAGTAAAAAAAATCATTTATTAAATTCCTGTAATATATGTTTATAATTTTTACCCTAAACATGCAAGTTGTTGATCCTAAACAGTACTGCAACCTCATGTGAACCAAATGGGCGACACTGGCTTGCATCACATACATGTAATATGCATTGACACTGGCTTCATCAAGCTAAGTTTGGTATTCTGGAAAGTGACTTGCACCAGATATTTTGATGTGTTATTCCAGACACTAGTTTGTACCAGAGGCTTGGCATTCTCCACACTAACTAGTATTGGAACCAGAATAGCTCTATCTGGTATTTTATCATCTCAAATGTCTTTTTATATACTGCTGAAACTTATCAAAGTACCAGGAAAGCCTGTGATGAAGAAAATACAACGTTAGTCTCATGATTATAATAGTTCAGCAAGATCGAATTGACCATTTTCCGTACACTGCGAGAATCACGCGTTATGCGTGAAATCGAACGTAAAAACAGGACAAACAAAGGTCATAGCGTCGTAGTCGCGTCAAACATCGCGTGGGATTCGACAAACGCGAAAGTATTTTGGGGACATTTCCATGCTTAATAATGTGCTGTATACATTTGATGATAGGCAATTTCGATTAAGTGAGGGTATTCGGAAGCAATATTCCTCTGTCGAAGATCGGCCGGTCGGTGTGAGCTACGAAATAAGGAAATTCCAGTTCAAAATCAAATCGTTCGATTTTTGCGGCAGACGTTCGACGCGCGTCTTTCATGCATCTCGCGAGATCTCGCAATTGTACGGAAAATCACCTATTATTCACAACTCAGCTATCATTGTTTATGTAGAGGTGGACTTCTTGTGTGCAAGTTGCGCACCACCAATAATAAGAAGGAACTGCCATTAACAGCTGGTCAGAAATATTATGGATTTGATTTGTGGAACAGTCAGCAAGTAGAAATAATAATTAAGATGTGATGAAACATGAAGAAAAATCATTATGAATAGAACAAAACTGTAAAAACTGGGGTGTCAATCAAGCCATTCATACGAGTGGATCGATTTGCTGTAGAACAATGTATATATATTACGTAGGATACAACTCCGCCAGCACTGTGAATAGGCTGGCTTACCCTGTAAATTATAATCAAACCCACCGTGCAAGGTGGGCGCCAACGTGTTATCAAGCACTCAGAGGATATCGTTTCAAAACGAAAAACGCAGTCTAGCTAAAATACACACACAAACAATACATTTTCTGAGTAACTAAACCTTTGTATTACTGACATAATGGTTGACAATCAACTTGCATCCTGTAACAATGAAACACAGCTAGCAAATTATTGATTTTTTTCTTTACAGTGAGAGACAACAATTGTAGAATTTGTTTTTTTTTTCATTTTCTGTCAAATTTACAAATATCACTGCAATGCTTCAAACATAAACAATTACAAAACGATATGCTTCACTGATAAATGTACAACTATAGATGAACTGTTGTTTGAGTTTATGAATCA